TGTTTTACCCCTTATCGCCGTACCGCGCGGACTACGCCCAATCTTTAAAAAAAAAAACCACTTTATACGCGTTTTCTTGGTCACACATGCTTACAGTATTTATATTTGACTGAGATCCCTTGGATATATACGTTTCTTATACTTCTTATCTGTGGAAACTGTCTTTAAAGAATTAGTGATAATCATTTTCTATTTCAACAACATCGCCACCGTGAGGCATACATGTCTCACTCGGTTTGAGCTGGCAGCCTGGCACACCCTGCCGGTCATTATTGTTGTCATTTGCTTGCCTTACATAGCAATTTGAACTCTATATTTTGTGTGCTCGACTTGGCCGAACTAAAATATCGATGATTCTGAGTTTACGAGGACGCTCTCGGATGATGGCAAATCATTTACGCTTCAACATAATTCCCTGTAGCGATGTAGTACAAGATGGGAACAACAATATTTACATGTGCATAGCAGAAAGAAAGAGATAGAAAGATAGAGAGAGGGGAGAGAGAGAGAGAGGGGGTGAGAGAGAGCGAGAGAGAGAGAGAGAGAGAGAGAGAGAGAAAGAGAGTCGGCCGATATATATGAGGTATATCTTTGTCCATTGCGAATGATGTTTCTATTGGTCTTTTGCTAGTTTTGCCATTATTGATGTGGCACATAAGCTGCTAGACTATACACACGATCATTCTATTTTTTCTTCGATGTTGACACAATCAAAAAAAATTACAAGTGCGTTGATCAGGACAGCACAAGGGGGCGCTCTTTAACATGATACAGCGTTCTAGAATGATTCTGTTGTTTCACGCAACAGATTGTGTTTTAATGTTTTTATTAGGTTCTCTTTAGCAAGATCCTTGCTTTACCCTAAATAATGTGAATTTGTAACTTTAGGATACTCGTGGAATTATCCGCTCTCTAGTTCTTACCAGATCAAAAACACGAAATCTTAGTATGTTTGTTAGAGGAGAAAACATCGATAAGGCTTCCGGTGCTCAATTTTTTTGTTTATTTTCACAAATGCTCCCTTAGTTTTTGAACCTGTAATAAGTTCCTCTGGTGCTGATGATAATACTATTTCTGGGATTTCCTATAATCAAGTGCATAATGGTTTCACACGTGATCAGGTAAATATTATTGATTTCTTCATGTGGTTAACTGTATGATTTAAATCTACCTTTACCAAGTACTTGAATGAAAATGATGAAATCGCATCTCGTCCTCGTCAATTATGTCTACTTTCCTGTCTTTGCAGTTGAAGCCTGTATATAATTTTATAAATTTGTAAACTTAATTGTAAAAGTTATTTGAATTTAGATTGAAAATATGATCACAATTTAACATAGCATGATTCTCTAATCCTTTCTCTCAGTAAACGACTATACTTGTCTAGTTCTGGGAGGTGATCTCTGATTGATTGATTTTATTTATTCATTTCATATAACAATTGTTTGCACAATAAAGAATATAGTTGACAAAGTAAGATCAAGATCATGAAATGAAACAGGAACCTACTGGAAAGCATAACTTGTTTTTTGTAGGTTCCAAAGAATACGGTATCGGCCCGACCGGTACTACCAAGACGACTCTGATCTCCATCTCGAGCGCATCAACGTCTAGTACACTGAGGCGGCAGGAGGACAATACGTCCAAAGAGCGGTTCTTCTCGACCTCGAGCCAGGCACTTTGGACTCGGTCCGTTCTGGTCCATTTGGTCAGCGTTTCAGACCAGACAACTTCATCTTCAACTTCATCACAGCGCAAAGAGAAACTTATGTTTATTTTGCGCTATATAAATATTGTATTATTGTATTATTATTTATCTTTGGCCAGAGCGGAGCAGGGAACAACTGGGCCAAAGGACACTTCACAGAAGGCGCTAAACTAATTCATTCTGTGATAGACATTGTACGAAAGGAGGCCAAGGGATGTGACTGTATTCAGGTTGGTTTAAAGGTAAAGACCAGTATTGGAAACGCCCCAATTTCAAAAAATGAAATGGAAGCTCTCATTACCAATTATGTGAAAGAATATGTTTTGACTAATACATGATGATAACAAATTTGCCGGGAAACCGCCTACTAATTCATATATTTGGTAAATTTGTTTCTCTCATGGTCTGTGAGAGATATAGGGTAGTCCCATATACATCTTTCTGTGTATAGTGCTTGTAACTTTACGAAGAATGGGCCAAATTTCTTATCATTTTGATGATTCCAGAACCTTGCAGATGCTAGATGCTAGATGATCAACCTTTTCTGATCGATTCCACAACGTTTCTTTCACAATGCAATCTCATGACCATAACTGGTCTTTACCTTTAAAAAACTTGAATGACTGTTTCGATCATAGTAATACATCCTTCACGAAGCATTACAAAACAACCTTCACTTTAATTATAAAGCATTACAATTTTGTTCAGATGCCTGCGTTATGCAGTTGACTTTGGAAGTGTTTTAGGGCAACACTTGTAATTATGTGTCCGTATTTTTGAATTGCTATTATGATTTTATCGTCTGGCGACTGAATTAACAACAGTTCATCTGTTCGATACAAATATCAGAATCCCTTATTTGATATCTTGGTTTGAATAATTTTGTCTGGATTATGTTTACTCATTATTTTATTTTCAAATCATTCATTTAATATTCAATATTTGCCATTATCGGGAGTAGTGGTTCTTTGGCTTTTGTAATTATTATTCAGATGCTGCATATTTGTAATATAGTACTTAACATAATGCTCCGAATCTTTTGATAAATATCCTTTCTTTTGAATTGATAGAAATTTAAAGATATTAATAGAAAGAAGCCACGAAATGAATTCAATATTTGAAATTGTTGCATTCAAGTTATCGTTTCCCCTTAATGAATATTTCCATTTCCTATTCAATTATCATTTTAAGAATAGGTCACTCGCACCAAATGACTAAGAGCCTGGCTTAAACATACGTGACCATTTATTTCATGTGTCTATGTCCACAGGGGTTCCAGCTTACGCATTCTTTGGGAGGTGGAACTGGCTCTGGTGTGGCCACCAAGATCCGTGAGGAATACCCTGATCGGATCATGACGTCCTTCAGCGTTGTCCCTTCGCCAAAGGCTTCAGACGACGTCGTCGAACCTTACAACGCTACCCTGTCCGTCCACCAACTGGTCGAGAATACCGATGAGGCGTTCTGCATCGACAACGGAGCACTCTACGACTTCTGCTGGATTTGCTCCTCTGACAAGCCGTGGTAGTCAACAATACAGGGCCACATCTGTTACCGAGCTAACGCAGCAGATGTTTGATTCTAAGAACATGGTGACAGCCTGTGATCCTCGTAACGGTCGCTACCTCACCGTTGCCGCAATCTTCCGTGGCCGCATGTCCATGGAGGAGGTTGACGAACAGATGCTCAACGTACAGAACAAGAACAGCAGCTACTTTGTCGAATGGATCCCAGATAATGTCAAGACTGTTTTCTGTGACATCCCTCCCCGAGGTCTCGAAATGGCTGCCATCTTCATCGGCAACAGCACCGCCATCCAGGAATTCTTTAAACGCATCTCTGAGCAGTTCTCCGCCATGTTCAGACGAAAGGCCTTTCTTCATTGGTACACTGGTGAGGGTATGGACGAGATGGAGTTCACTGAGGCTGAGAGCAACATGAACGACTTGGTGTCCAAGTACCAGCAGTACCAGGACGCAACTGTCGAAGAGGAGGATTTCGATGAGAAAGAGGAAGAAGAACAAACTGTAAAGATACCTCGTAATTCTCTGTGAATTCGCTAAAAGGGATAGTTGAGTTCTTGTTTAAGACTGCAAATGCCTTCAAAGTGCATGGTTATTGCTCTTATTCTTCTTTATGACATTTCTAGTGCACTTTTATGACCTAAAATTGCTATGAAGTTAATTTTAGACCCCAAAATGTGTGAAATTTAGATTAAAGACGATCATACCAATTCAACTCCAATTTCAAATAAATACAGTGACCGTATTAATAAATAATAATATCTCGTTTTTTAACGGCTGGTCCAAAATTACCGAATATATGTGGGGCACCACAAATATTAGAAATGTTTATATTCATGGATATTTCAGCTGTCTATGAATCGATAATTGTATCATTCAAATTGTATATTCTTTTAAATTCGACACTCAGTTTTACATTATCTTACAAAAAAAATATTTTGTGTAGCTCACTCTCTGCAACAAAACTCAACTATCCCTATATTCATAACTGGGAACGATTGATAGGAACATCATAATTGTAGATCTTGTCAGTAAACAGGATATGTTGATAGAAAAGGATTTCTCAAATGATATGCGCCCATCCTATCCTCCCTTTTTGTTCTCTCTCCCCCGTCTCTCTCTCTCTCTCTCTCTCTCTCTCTCTCTCTCTCTCTCTTTGTCTCTCAATGTATGTCTCGCTCTCTCTGCGTCTCTCTGTGTCCCTCTCTTTCTCATCCTCCCTCTCGGATAGATCTCTCTTTCTCTCTCCTATTCTCTATTTCACCTTCCTTCCTTTTTCTACGTACGATGTGAGTTTTCTCTTGAACTACCCAAAGTAGTTTTACCAATCTTTTTGAATCTGCCCTCTGTTCTTTTTCTGCTCTCCTCCTTCTCATCCTTGATTCTTCTTCTTGTTCTCTCACTGGACTGTTTCCTTCCTCTGCCACTTTGGTACAACTGTATTTCTCTTTCTTTCGATATCTTTGTTCAATTTTGAATAAAGTTCTCGAGGTATCTGTCAGCAGAAATCTGCAGTTTTCTTTTTTTTCCTTTAAGGTCAGGGTTTAAGAGCCAGAATTAAAATGTCATTTTGCACCATATGTAATTAAAGCTGAGTGATTTTAGTTATTCAATTTATTAAAGAAATGAAGAAAAAAGGTTTGTCATTATCAATCAATAACAATATCTTTATTAATCGATTAATGAAATATTTTACAGTGAATGAAAGTATATATAAATAACATAATAAACAAGATAAAGAAGAAAGTTTGATGAATATATATGCTTGCTTATAAAGACTAAGAATAAGAATAAATGACATTGTGACAGTAAAGAAGAGTGGAAATGAGACAGACAAGTATAAAGCGGAGAGAGAGAGAGAGAGAGAGGGGCGGAGCTAAGGGGAAAGAGATGACGGTAAATAGGATGGTTAATGAGGCCGATATCTGAAGAATATATTGGAGAAAAGGAGAGAAATATGGGGATGTCTAGAGAAGAGAGAAAGAGAAAGGGAGCGAGAGAGAGATAGAGAGAGAGAGAGAGAGACTGTGTGTTTTACAAAGTAATAAGATATCAAACATCGGTCATGAATAGAAAACAGGAATCATGATTAAATGAAGCCACCATGATTGAATACCAAGATTGGTCGCTCTTAAATCAGTGATTTTCTTGCAGTAATCCATGATCACCATCATGACCAGGCACCTTGGTAGCTGATTCTCTATGATTTGTTTTATCTTTTGTTGGAAACTATTATTTTATCACATATTTTGTTGAAAACACAGTTGAATAAAATGGTGCACGTAGATTTGAATAAATGGAATATGCATTAATATCTACTCAGAAATTACTGTTAAGAATCACCTTACACTCGGTAATGTAGGAATCAAAGTCAGTCAAACAAAACTGAAGAGAAAAAACTCTAGTGCGTTATAAATTTTAAGGAGCATATATACACCGATTTATTCGGTTCAATGCTAATCATCATCCACAATAACATCAGTGACAGTATAGAACATATTTATCAATACAGGGTTATGGTATATAAACAACAAAAAAGAGATTCTAGTAATAGTCCAAACGTCATGTAGCTCATCGAGTCTACCTTGCCCATTATATACTCATACACATGTCATGTTCAGACGATAATCATAAATTCAACATATCAATAGTATACATATTAATATGTGACATAAATCAAACCAAGTAGCAAGCTGGGAAATGAGAGACAGTGGAAGAAGAAGGCATTGTACAGACAACATTGTGTGAACATTGATCCGTAACTGAGAAACTTCGGGGATTTTAAAATCTCAACATTTTATTTTATTATATAGTCACTTATCCAACATTAAGACTTTTTAGCATTATAGGTCTAATATACATATATTGGGATTCAAAATTTCAAAATTTCCTCAGTTTGGGAGCTTCCAAGCTTAAAGTGACACATCCATTAATTTTCGATAACAAGTAAGAAGATTAATTTGGGGCCTTATAATGCATCATCGGGGATCTCAAATTATTTGTTTTCCTTCTCACCTTTGGGAGGTGGATCCCACCCAAACCCATCCCTAATATATGAATTTTCCATTTTTCCATTTTATAAAAGTAGGGACGATCGTTCAAACAAAGCGAATTATTAATTTATCCATCAACTTTATTTAAACAAAAATGAGAACATTGATTTGTCTACATTCCATGTGACCTCAAAAACACACCGTAGTCCGGTCACCCACAGCGTTTGGAATCAACGATGCCCCGTTTGTTGTCGAATTTGGGTCGGACTCATTCAGCATTATACGTTTTGAAGCTTAGAGAAACAAATAAACTCAACGAAACTATAAATTAACACAACGAAGTAGATCATGTGTGTGTGTGTGGGGGGGGGGGGGTTGTAAGAAGATATATATATATATACAAGACTAAACTGCAAACCATGTAGGTCTGGGAGCGGCAAAACAAGATGTGGCCCCATTCCATAGTAATGTTGTCCCCCCCCCCCCCCCCCCCCCGGCAAAGAAAATCCTGGATCTGCCACATTTATCACTCCTCTGGCATGCCGGGTGCACAGCCAGAGGGAGGCCGGGGTCTGACGGTTACTGCCGTGCGCATGTACAGGTTGGACAATGCACTTCTCTCCCATCCAAGCCTTCATCAGATCGCAGTGATCCCTAGAACAAAACAAAATGAGAGGGGGGGGGGATTAGTTGAATACAAACAAATCAATACAGACCATTTAGGTTTAATGTTTTGCTTTTATGAAAATTTGAATCGCTATCAAATGTTGTGTTGAAAGATCTTATCATGAAGCCTGTATTGCTCAAAGTCTAGCTTTGAGCATCCCTGAACATAGTCAACAACCAACCACCCACCACCATCAGTTATTTCACATGAACGATTATTGCAAACTTCGAAATGTTAAAAATGAAGCTCTGCTTACAATTTCTGTCATTTCTTGATCAGGTCTGTCCGACTCCACACCGCTGTTTCCATCATGATGATCCGTAGTCTGCACACTCAATGGCGGTATCTCTGAGGTATCTTCTTCCTTCAGAAATGATAGAATAAAATGATTAAATGTGGGTAGGTCCATGATATAACCCAAGAGTTAATCTTCATTTAGTTACTAACCGACACCTACGGTAAGACAGACAACCTTTTGTCAAAGAGTTAGATGGTCTTAAATAACTTCGAGGGGCCAAATCTTATGGGTCAAATTGTATGACTCAATGTGCGACTATTTCGGGACAGGCTCAACACTAAAACATAACGACATGCACATTATCATCGAGATCAATGCATATCATTAGATCATTACATGTCGTTATCTCTCCACTAATTGAATGACTATTAGCAGAAGCAACAATCCTTTCAGATCATTGAACGCAAATAAATTAATAATACTTGTGTGCCTCGGTATAACTTTCACAAAATAATGATTATTAATTTAATATCAATTCATGACTATATTTATGATTAGCTGACTCCTAGAATGATTATGCACCTTTACATTTAATCTAGTTTTTTTGCATGAAGTTATTTTCGAGTGTATACATTTATTCGAGAATCCTTTTCTCCAGTCATATTACCTTAACATCAACAACGATCTTTGTCTGTCTCCCTCCACGGTGATCTGTAACCAACACCGAGCATTGATTGGAACGATAGAGGGTGCACTCTATGTGGAAACTTGGACCACTCACTGATACCTGCCAAACATTTAACAGAATTACGAAAAAATTAGATAACTTCTTCCCCCTCCACAATATGTAAGCCTTTCAATGGCAATAAGATACCCCCCTCCATTGTTTACAAGAACGTAGGGAGGTTTCCAAGTGCTGGCGAACCCACCCCCATAACTCAACGGGAGTGCTGAGAGGATTCCCGAATATTCCCGAATTTAAAGAAATGCTTCAGCCATCCCCCCCCCCCCCCCCTGGGGAAAAAAAACGTGTAAAAACACGTGATTTTTTACCTTTTTTGAACGATGCCCTGACCCCCCTGGGGCCCAAGGGGGGGGGGGGGGTTGCAAATTTTTAAATTTCCGAAGGCCCCCCCCCAAAAAAAAATAGAGATTACTACACCCCCCCCCCCCCCCCCTACTGAGCGACTTTTCGGTCGGCGCGATTTTCAATTTTCGGGAGCAAAAAAAAATTTGGGCCCCCTCCCCTAAGAAATCCTGGATCCGCGCCTGCCCCCCCCCCACCCCCCCCCCCCCCTAATTTCAACCATGCATCGAAGGCTCGCCCAAAGTGAGTCTCGAAGTACTAAAGGCTAATCCTAATGCTGGAAGCTGGTAGGATTATTTCACCTTCCCACTCTCCAATCAATGGAACGTTGACACCCCTCATTTCTTACCTTGTATCTCCCTTCATTGTCGCTTCTGCCATTGTTAAGGGATGGAATGTCTCTCTCTTGATGCTTGGAGGTTGCCATCGTATGGCTGAAATTTAGAACATAATAAAGTTCAATCAATGATTATGTGATAGCAGATTTCATCAATAACAAATTAAATAACTAGAGGCGAGTAATGAAAATGGTATATTTTGTAACCGATTTAGAGTGCAGAACTTTAGCCTGAAGCGGCGGAACGTTATTAAAAGAGGGAAGGATCACTAACCACATGTTATTTTGTTTTGTTTTGAAAACGAGCACCTGTAAAGAGTGAATTCATAGCAAATTAATGCTTTTTTCACAATCAGTGGAAAATTATCTGTTTTGGTAAGCTTTCACTTCACTTGGCCGCCATTTTTTAAGCTTACCGCTCATGATGGCGGTCTCCTGCATTTTCTGTAATTTATCTTTTTTTTTGTCATTGAAATTATATTTGTGTTTGTATGCATCTTATTCTATGTACTTAAAAATGTATAATTATGTAAAATGAAGAAATATTTGTTACTTTATGTATATGATTATGTTTAATTTTTGAAAATGCAGAAATAACAACAAACATACAAACTTGCTGTGTAGCAGCAGGCGCGTACACAGGGGTGGAGGGGGTTTAGGGTGTTAAACCCTCCCCTTTGGTATTTTTATGTGTGTAAACCCCCCCCCCCCAAAAAAAAAAAAAAAAAAAAAACCCTAAAACCCCCCTTCCCCCCCCCCTTATTTTTTATTTTATTTTTTTTATTTTTTTTATTATTAAAAAAAATATATATATATATATTCACCTGGCTGACCTAAAAAAGGTGACCTTACCCCACCCCCCTGCTGGCTAAGTCGTTGCGAAATTTTGGCCCGATTTATAAATGTTAACCCCCCCCCCCCCCCCCCCCCCTTGAAAAAATCCTGCGTACGCGCCTGTGTAGCAGACCCATGTCGTAGATGGCGCTGTTGTTGATGCAGTTCGACGACAAAGTAGAATGGGACCGTAGTCTCTGTTTAGTATGTGAGTGTACATGTATATCTTTGTCACTTTCTGAGATTTTCGTTCTATCACATCGTCTTGCTGTATCAGCAACAGCGCAAACAACGACAGAGTTTTGTAGAAGCTTGCAGCACAACAAGGGAAGGCGGTTTCCGCTGGTTATGAAGAAAACAATGATAAACCCCTTCAGTTATTTCGTTATTCAAAAACCATCTCTCATCACATCTCTCCATTTTGATTTGACACACTTCGGTAGTTTAAATGGACCTTTGGACTCTCCTACCCTAGACTCCATTGGTCTACAGTGTGATGAATAAAACACAGGAGCATGATAGGTAGACATAAGTAAGTAGTACTAACAACATTATGAGAAGGACACTCATTAAAGAAAAGGGCAATTTGGGGGGGAAGTTGTTTAAAAAAAACCGCCCCCCCCCCACTCAGTGTTATGTAGGGTACGCATTATTTTTTAAACTTCCATGATGACCTAGTACATTGTATAATGCTTTACCTAGTAAGATGCATTAATCGAGGTAATTTCAGGTCTTACATATTGATGAGCTGTTTGAAATTAACTAGGAGGTATACGCGTATTGGGGAATGTGGCTTGCTGCTCTACTTAAAAAAAAAAACTTCCCATTTCATGTTATGAGTGTTTAGTGTGCATTATATGGGACGTACAGTGATAGATGGAAAGTTATTTCAGTATATTCGAAATGACTTTTAGGTAACTCCTTTTTCCTTCCACATCATCAACATTCAGAAAATGAAGGGAAAAAAAAGAAACGAAAATAACCCGTGAAAAAAAAATATTGTCGGCGAAGCATATGTCGTTGTACTATAATAGTAGCATTTTGTATTTAATGGGACATTTTTTTGGACGGAGCAAATGTCGTCGGAGCAAATGTCACCGGAGCAAGTGTCGCTTCATGCGGAGCAAATGTCGTCGGAGCAATTGTCGGCGGAGCAAATGTCACCGGAACAAGTGTCGCTTCAGGCGGAACAAATATCGGCGGAGCAACTGTCGGCGGAGCAATTGTCGGCGGAGCAACTGTCGGCGGAGCAAGTGTCGTTCGAGGAGCATTTGTCACCGGAGCAATTGTCGCGTTTTGCGGAGCAATTGTCGGCGGAGCAATTGTCGGCCGAGCAAATGTCGGCGGAGCAATTGTCGGCGGGGCAATTGTCGGCGGAGCAATTGTCGGCGGAGCAAATGTCGCTGAGCAAATGTCGCGGAGCAATTGTCGCGTTTTGCGGATTAAATGTCGGCGGAGCAATCGTCGTCGGAGCATGTGTCATGGAACCGCACGAACAGGCCGATGGTGATGCGGATTTTCGTTCTGCCCCCCCCCGCTCCACTCGCTTCGCTTGCTACGCTCTACCTGATCGTAAATGCTTTAGCCCCCCCCCCCCACCCACACTTTGAAACACGTCCCGCAGGGCCTGCACGAACAGGCCGATGGTGATGCGGATTTTCGTTCTGCCCCGCCCCCGCTCCACTCCCTTCACTTGCTACGCTCTACCTGATCGTAAATACTTTAGCCCCCCCCCCGCCCACTTTGAAACACGTCCCGCAGGGCCTGCACGAACAGGCCGATGGTGATGCGGATTTTCGTTCTGCCCCGCCCCTAGCCTCTTGTCGATGCCCTCGCGCTGTTGGAGTCTCTAAATTCTGACGAGCGAAGCGAGTCAGAGAAACCGAGGCGCCTCGGTTTCTCTGACTCGCTTCGCTCGTCAGAATTTAGAGACTCCAACAGCGCGAGGGCATCGACAAGAGGCTACCCCGCCCCCCGCTCCACTCACTTCGCTTGCTACGCTCTACCTGATCGTAAATGTTTTAGCCCCCCCCCCCTCCCCCACTTTGAAACATGTCCCGCGGGGCCTGCACGAACAGGCCGATGGTGATGCGGATTTTCGTTCTGATCCCCACATTACGCCACTGGTGATGATATCATTGTCACATTTCCTTTTATTTTTGGCTTTCTGTTTCCAAAGACCAAAGTCCAAATTCACGAGCGTACAAACTACATCGCCACGTATTACATGTTATGCATGTGTTTAGGATACTTTGCGTTGCGATTCGTTGATATTTATCCATATTTATAGAGCTACATATTACTTTCTTCATTCCGTATCCAACATAAACTGGAGACATATATATTGGAATACACAACAGAAATAAAAGGTAATCGATTTTGGTTTATATCTTGAGTGTTATACATGTATGATAGTATTGTAATCCGGAATCAGTTTGGCGTCACAGCTATGTGCAGTAGATAACTAGCTCTTTACGTGATCATGAATATAGTATCAATTGCTTTCTGTATTGTTAGTACAATACCGATAGCCTACGAATTTATGAGGCTGAATTACGAAAAAGGAGGAGTGATTTTATGGACAATACTCAGCAGAGTCAGAATTTCGTTTCACGTAAATTCATTTGTAGGAAATTGATCAAATTATTGTTTAGAAATTTTGGAAAAGTCCACTGTTATTTTATCGGCACACTGCCTTCTATCCGTACCGTACCGTACCGTACCATATTTTCACCCCGGACAACTATCCCTAGGACAAGTAGGCCTAACCCCTAGGACAACATACTCCCGGATAACTATCCTACAAAATAGAGGCCTATTATCAATTCCAGAACAAGTTTTTGGGGTGGAATTGAATTATGCGATAGTTTTTTTTTCCGGGGTTAGCTCTCTGGGTGTAATAAGGGTATATGTTTTAAAGGTAGACTATAGTCTATACGGACGACGATACCGCAGCAACCACTGCGTGCAACATACAGGAACCGAAGCGTGAGGAGAACTTGTCTGTTTTACGAGCGCTGACCATAGAGATTAAGTCGCTGACTACCGTTAATAGGGACTTGACCCACATTCGGCCAAAAGATCAACGAGGCATTTTGTGTACCTCCCACACAGACGACGAACGTTCGAGTGCACTAGAGCATAACACCAAGGTACCGGACTCGTCGATATTTATGAAACAGGGGTTTATCGTAGAAAACTCGTGAGAGTGTGAATGTCAACACCGCTGTGCGAGCGTGACTTGTCAACTCTCTCTCTCTGTCTCTGTCTCTGTCTCTCTCTTCCCTCTTCTTCTCCCGAAAAAAAGAAAACAAATCAGGAAACTGTATATTGTTAGTCTAGTAGATGCAGATGCACATCACAATGCATAAGTCCATTGTCATCCCTCCATCTAAGATGGGCGGGATCCCCCTGCAATATGAATACGCGATTCCTTCACTAGCAGATCGACCATGAATATTTAGATCTGCTCATAAAGCGAGTTCAGAGTGCCAATAATTTGCTAAATTTCAGGAAAATTAAAGAATTCAGTGTCTCGTGAGAGATATAATCTAATCCCTACACATTTTTTTTGTAAAAGATCGTCAATAATATCTAAATTCCCTTCAGTAAATTGCTGAAATCAAGTTTGTCTTTTCCATCGCCACGGAGCTGAGTCAAATTTGATGGTCGAAATACGCACGGCTGCGAGCACGGTGTGTAAGCCTCATTGTCCGCTGTGTAAAAACCTCGCTTACGCACAATGCATAAATTACGGAGGTCGATGCGTAAATTTCTATAAGCTTCTTTTTATTGGATTGAAATTGGCCCTAATTTCTCGACAACCAATCAAATTATGTGTTTCATCAGACGACACGGGATTATATACCCTATGATTTGGCGCCCGAGATGGCCCAATAACAAGTCGCAGTTACGAGCATTAGCTCCTTGAAGTACACAACCCCAGTGAAAAAGACGAATTTTCCTGTGACCTCCATAGAGAAATCACAAATTGAATGATAATTGTCCATTTTTGAAGACGAAAAGGCCCTATTTTCCGGTATTCAAATCAGTTCGAAATTGGTATCAGTGGAAAGAACAGTATTTGAATATGTGATTTCCACCCGAGATGGTGTGTAATCAAAGTTTGTTTACCTCGTAGGAGCATTTCTTTGCACACTTAGCGCATTTTCAAAGACTATTTCACGTGTTGTAGACCGCGGAGCGAGACCGCGTGAGCAGATGCCCAAAATTTGTTCATATATGTCCCTATTCAAG